TCGTGCAATTTCACCAGTGACATTTAGGAAATAGTCCCAGTTCAAAAATAAGCCATTTTCTGAGTTAGGATAAAGAAGTGAAAAGTCTTGCAGAATCTGAAAGGACATAAAGCAAAAAATAATATAGGATACGTGATATTAAATAAAAGACATGTAATAATAATTATGCTTAGTAATTTTTTGACCAGGCTTACATACCAGTTCATGACCAGACGGATGAGTCAGCACTGGCCATTCATCGATGTAAGAATTGACAAATTTGCCTGCACCCTCAAAAAGAGCACGAAAGCGAAGGGGTGCCACAGTCGACCATTTCTCAAGAGCTTTAGGCCATGGGGTTCTCCCATTCTTCAGCCAGACTTTGGCTGCCTGTACCTCTTCGGTTATTGCTGGAAGTTCAAAAAATATAAAATAGTTATTGTGAAATCTGCTTTCACACAAATAAGGACTCACAGTATTTAGCTTACGTTGACGCAGTATTCTTGACAAATTACTCCCAGTGTTCACTGATTATGACGTGGAAGGTCTAGCTTCAGGCGTTCGACTTCCTCTCTGTAGGTTCTTAAGTTGGTTCTTGTAATTTCGTAGCTTGACTGGCAGTTTTCCCATCGGGGCAAGCTGAGCATCCCCCTTTGGACCCTCCCTGGGTGCAATGTAATACGTTTCCTGCAAAATAAACAAAAACTTTTTCTAAAACCACGTATAAAGTAAATTCATTAATTTTAAATTCAGAATTAAAATTAGCTTACTGGAACCTCAGATGGGAAAAGACTGACAATCTTCTCACACACGTTTGGATAGAGATGGTGGTCCACGGCTGTTGTATGCTTTACCAGATGTTCAATTATGGCTCCTACTATTAAATCTCGTTGAAAATTGCTTAGCCTAGGCTTCTTGTGCTCTTCGATGTTGTCTTCTGCTTCGTCATGCTGTTTTTGAGCCAATTCATAGTACTTCAGAATACTTTGACTGCTAGGATCACTTTCTAGAACTGCTCGTAGGTCCTGGAACAATAAAAGCCTGGTTAACAACGTAATCCATAATGCAAAGCACTTAAAAAAATTACCAGATCTTACCAAGTCCTCAATCACTTTCTGATCGCTAAACTTGCGGAGTTTCTTCGACGCAGCAGAGGTGGTAGGCAACGGTTCATCAGGAGTACGCTTTTGGCCTCGAACAGGCTGATGAGAGGGAGGTGGTGGAGTTACAGGTGTTCTTGAACACTGTTGCGCCACTTCATCTGCGCCCGGTCTGACGATGGCATCCGCATTCTAAGAATGGAAAAAAAAATGAATTATTTAATGTCGTGATTTAATATTAATTGATACAAAACCTAGGAGGAAAAAGGACTACTTACAGCCTTATGATTCCTAATGCGTTTCAAAAGTATCACTTGCTCGCCTGGGTATTCTGTCACTGTAGATACAGTAGCCTCGTTCAGTTCCAGAAGAGCCTCAAGTGTAAATCTTCCTTCTGCAAATAAAAAAGTACAAGTATTAATGATTGCACTCTAGATATATGAGATATGAAAGAACCCCCTGCCCTTTTCACTCGGCCGCCTCTGCCACCACCTGGTTTGGGCCCACTCATGGCCACCTATGGCCACCCTGTCCCCTCCCTACCCTCCCTCCCGCCTCAGCACCCACCGCCCCCTGCCCCCTGCCTATTCCCGCCCGCCCCATGCCCGTTCCCGCACGCCCCGCCGCCGCGTCCGCCGCCCCGCGTGCCGCTGCTCCGCGTCCGCTCAGTTCGCTACGCCACGAGCGCCACCGCGCCCCGCGCCGCCGCTGCGCCACGAGCGCCACCCCGCGTCCGCCACCCCGCGTTCGCTGCGCCGCGAGCGCCGCCATGCGCACTGCTCCCCGCTAGCGCCGGCGCGCACGTCGCAGCCCAGCGCCGCCCCGCCCCGCCCTCGCTTCTAATGAAGTGCTCTTTATCTATTTCCGAACAGCATCACAAAAGCAAACACCGAACAACACGCACCACAATCGGCTAGGTTTTATATCTTCCCGTAGTAGTTTAAAAGTAAAAGTCGGGAAACGTACATCGATCTAAATAATAATCAACAGCTAATTCAATATTTGGCTGTGCCTGAACAGGTACATGCCTTTTAACGTGGCGCAAAAAACCAGCCCACGATTGATATTCGTTTC